ACCTTATCAGCCTTAACTTGCCTTTAATCAGCTGAGTGGTGACCCAGTCTTGTCCATTTGATGGCTTCAGAATTCAAACTCACTTTGTCATTTTACTCTTAAAAAGGCTTTGCAAGTCTGTTTGGTCTTTTGGTCCATATTACACATTTTTAAAGGCTTTGCAGTACAAAACAGAGAGATAAGACTTGTTGCTTGATAGTTTTTGCCGGAAAGCAATACATGTCTATCATTTTAATGTGATTGAAAGTCAAATTCTTTTCAACAGCAAGCACTTTGTGAGGGTTTAATTCCACTGCTGGACATGCAAACAGTGCTGAAAGGGAGAAAATGGCTTTTAATGGCTTTTAAGCCAAATCAGGTCTTGCAGGTTTCCAGCAAAGTGAATTTAAATGAAAGTTTAAACAAAGTTTGTAACTTTGCTGGGATTTGATCCAACAATTTTGCATTGCTGTCCTGTAAAACCATGGCTAAAATATAACCTTTCACAAATCAGAGATTAGCAACCATGTCTCATTCAAGCATATCTTCAGTAGAGAGCCCTGAATGGCTGTTTATTTTTTTTTTTTAATCCTGTTCACTCCCTCTACATTATCTTTTGTGTTCCCTTGTGACGCTTTTTGCATTCCCTTGCAAAATCATTTGTGCTCATTTGCACCATTGTTTCATTTCTTTCAGTGTATGTAAGTTCATGTTAGAACTCAGGAAATTCAGCTGTTATGATCTAGCACTGGGTTGCTCAAAAGAATGAAAACATGAATCAAAGAGAAAGTCAAGAAATAAGTAACAGGAGCACAAATATAGACAATTGAAAGAAATTATTGACAGGAAAAAATTGTAAAGTATCACAAAATTTGTTTGGAAGGAATGGAAAAGCATATTCTGACCAATTCTTGCGAGAATCTATAGTTTATTGTAGCTATACCTAAAAGAATAGTTTGACATTTTGCAAAGCACATTTGCTCATTGTCTTGTTGGGATTTAAATAAGAAGATTGAAATCACTCTTAGGTCTATATTCTAAATACAGTATAAAGCCAGAGCCAGTGCCTGGTTAGCTTAGCTTAGCATAAAGACTGGAAATAGGAGCAGAGCAGCTAGAATGGTTATGTCCAAAGGTAACAAAATCCACTCACTCGTTAATATGTTATATCTGATTTGCTAAATTCGTACAAAAACCCAAGTCTAAAAATGACAATCAGTTCTTCCAAGTAAGAAGTGATCTGGCACACCCCAAAATCATGACTAGTGATGATAAAGCAAGTCAGAGAATGGACAACAGACTGACTGTTATGGAATAAAACATTGTTCGATTTCAGAAACACAAAGACATCAGGGAAAGCTCCTGGTTTTTTAAATTCCCAAAAGGCTCTTTGCAGATTGGTCTTTTCTGCCTGGCAGCATTTCACTCATATCAGTAAATAATGCTGCAGCTTGTAAAGCCATGGATTTCCAATCAAATCTCAAAACATGAAGATCATCCTTGGCAAAACATTTTGAAGAGAAAAGAATGCTTTGATTCAATTGGAAATGTTTCTTATCCACAAATTTCTTATATGACACCTTGGTGTAAAATCTTAACCTCTTCTCTGCTGATACATTCATTAAAAAATAAAAAACATAAGACTCTTTAGAAACATGTAAAAAGTAGGCATACAGGATATATTAAATTTGAAACTAAATCATCTGTGTTGTGATAATTGTCTTGGGATTGTAGATCAGATTAACAGGCAAACACAGTAAAAAAAAAAAGTCAGAAATATTTTTCTTACATTGACAGTAGTATCTCAATCAAACAATAAAATGTCTTCATATTGAGAGAGGGAGAAGAAAAAACTTTAAAGGGGATTCTTCAAAAAAAAAAGTTTTTTAAAAAAGTATTGATATATCCACATATTACAGGTCAGGGTAACAAATTGTTACATTTGGTCCGGTGTTGATTTTTTAAGAATATGTAGCAGAATGCAGGTTTTATGTATTCAGCAGGTGACTCACCTGCTGGTTTTTATCTCTTTTAATTTTCCTAAAAGCACTTTTGCAGACATTTTTCACCCTGTTCTGCTGCATGTATTCTCTGAGCCAATGTAACAGTGTGACTCACTGTTTCTGATGTTTTTCTGGCATTTCAAAGAAATGTCAGCAACTGGTCTGAGTAATAACAAATGTAATAATAAAATAAGATGGTTCGCTTAGCTTAACACAAACACAGTAAACACAGGGAAACAGCAATCTCTCCAGTGGAAACAAAATCTGCCAATGTTAAAATCTAAAGCTCACAAATTATATTGTATGGTTAAGTCATACAAAATGAAATGAAAATGGATGAAATTTGTCATTTACTAGATCGGGTCACACTAAGAGGAAAAGATTTTGTAGAAGAGGTCAGCACACTAAATCAAATTACAAGCTGGAAACCGTTGTGGTGACGCTGAAGTTGTGGAACCGTGGTGTGGTTCGTTTATAGTCTAACAATAGCTTTTTACTTATGGCCATTGCATTTAAGTTTCAAAAATCATAAAAGTGTTGTTCACTTGTGACGATCATCTTGCTGAACAAAACATGTAAATATAAACATTTGTTTGTCATACATCTTATTTTCTTCAGTAATCCAAAAACCTATGGAAAAATCTCATTGGCTTTTTATCGAGAGAACCCATGGTCATGCTAACTTCTGAGCTGGCCTCGAAAGCTACAGTATGTCGTCCCTATGACAGTCTATAATTTCCCAGAGTCTCTGCAAGTTGGATGGCAACTGCTCAGAGAGCCCAGTTTATTGTTTCCCCCTATTTCCAGTCTTTGCTGAGGTAAGCTAATAGCTGCTAGCTGTAGCCTCGTATTTAGCATACATCTTCTCATGTAATATGCAAATGTACCCAAATGTCAAACTATTCCTTTAAAAGGAAAATTCACACTGAATTCATCAGCTATCAAGGATCCCATCAAGCTCAGATTTTGGCAATTAGGTTAAAACCAGGATAAATGTGGCTGAAGACTTTTTTCTACATACATAACCAATGTTTCAACTGTCTTATAATGACAGTGCTCTAATGTCAGCAAGGTCCTGGCTACAACTTGAAAAGAAGTCAGTGAAATAATGTTGAATTTATAGCTGAAAGCATTAGTCGATTAACCGATCACAAGAGAATTAATCTGCAACTATTCTGATAATCAATTAAGTACTAAAACGTCCAAGGTATAATGGCAGCTACATTAACTTGTAGCACTAAAGCGTAGTAAACTGAAAATAAAAGTTCAGTGTAATATTACACATATGCACACACACACCCACACACACACACGCACAAAGAGATGTAAACCACTTGTTCAGAACAAAATTTAACCTTGTAGTGTCCCTGTGCCTGTATCTGTGTTGATCGATTTAATACCTGCATGATTATTTTGTGGTATAGTTCTCTCCATATGCGTGCATTATGGGTAACGTGGTTCTTTTGTGAAGTCCGTTAATTAAATCTTCCTGCGTGCGGTCTGGTCATTCTCTGTTCGTTTTGCTTTGAAGAAATAAATCTTTACCAGTTTACTTATTTGCACCTTTCAGCAGTCACAGATAAAGCTCCACAGTTAAGGTGGATGTTTAATGTGCTCTCTGGCTCCAACACTCGTATTAGTCCACCCAGTTAAAGACTGACAATCCAACAAATCCACCTCGGTCAGTTAAGCTGTACACGTTGTCTCTTCTTGCTTAGGGAGTCCATTAGGAGCTGGGTGACACTGTTGTCTATCAGTGGAGAATTAAGCAGAATGACAGTGGGTGCAACAAAGCTATCAATGTCATTGAGCTTGCTGGAGGCCTAAATAGTTTCACAGGGGAATAATGTGGTTATCTGACAACAAAATCAACGCTCCAGAGTGGAAATCTGTCTTCCCTTGTTAAATTTAGTACCTCCAGGACCCCTCCATTGAGCTCTGATGGAATGTGGAGCAAGTAGTGAGCAAAAGAAATACACCTCTTGTTAATGAGGAAGGTTGAATCTAAGGGTGTTAACTAATGTTTTAGAATGATATGTGGTAGGAGGATCTCGGATGCCAATGTAGAAGTGATAATTTTGTATGTGATCATGTAATTGCATATTGGAGGAGAGGAGAAGGTTAACGGAGGGATGAAGGAAAAAAGATGATAGAAAAAAGGAAGATGAAACGAGCCAAGAGTGTCATCCTATTTTGACAAAGAAGCAAAATGGATTTTTTTTCTAAGGCCTAAGACTTTCGTGGAGGGATTTTCAGGCAAGAAGGCAAAACAAAACTAAAGGAACTGAATCCATGGGAGCCCTCATAATTAAATGAGCATGTGTGATCCTTCCTCTCCAAGAAATAAAACATATTCAGAAATGGGCACAATCCTTCAGTTATCCCCCACAAGGTGTTGTTCGCTGTCTTCTACCAGCTTAAACATCCCATTCTGTGGCCAGTCTGAAGAAAGAACAACAGAGGTTTACCAGCAGTTTCAGTCAGAGGGCCAACACTTCAGTCTGTCAGCCACTCCCCTCTGAATCCTTCCTTCCTTGCATCCTTTTCACCTTCATTCCCATCGTTCAAAACTCTTCCTGGATCAACAGAGACAGCGGCGGTCACTCTTGGTCACTTCCTCTGAGGAGTGAACCACGTTGGGCACAAACCCACTCTTCACACCTTCCCAGCCCTCCTGGATTGTGATGTCGCCGGATCGCACCAGGGCAAAGATGTCTCTGGTCAGCTCGGTGAAAGCATGCTCCACATTAATGGCGTCACGGGCCGACGTCTCAACGTAACGCATCCCGTATGCTCCTGCCAGCTTCTCTGCCTCCTGACGGGTCACCTAGGACATCAAACACAACAAGATAAAACTTTTTCTATTCCTCCACTCTTAGCCTTGATTGAAAATTACAGGTGTACTCGTTGTTGCTCCATTGAGATTGAACCTGTTTGTTTTAATTTGTGAATGAGATCAAATACCATGCACCTGAATTTAGAAATAATACAATTATTATACAATATCATACAATTTTGAATCACTTAAAATTTTTGTGACATTGCACACTGTAGTTTTGTTGTAGGTTTATTTTATTTCAATGTGCCAAAAATGGTTTTGGTCCTAAAACCACGAGTGCATGAATATATCTACTAAAAATTGCTGACTAGTGTCTTTTGGCTATGCTGAAATAAGCCCAATTGTATACTCAGAGATCGCATTACCAAACCGCAGGACACCAATTTAATAGCCTCATGTCATCTGCAGCTTCACTTACATTTTTAAGAAAAGCTAGAACATTTGCCTTTTACATTGACTGATGAGACTTAGTAGATGAAGATCAGAATGAAGTGGGCAAGATGGGAAACCTTATATGATTTCCTAGTTTATCTGATTTTAATCCTGCTCTTAAAACATTTGAGTGCAGACACACTGCACACCCGAGTGTTTTGCAGCATCATCCTGTAAGCCATTTAGTATTTTTGCTTTCTGTCAGACAGCTGTCCCAAAATGGTTAAACAGAAAACGACTACTCACTAATCATGGATCTAACTGTGAACAAAAAGTTATTTATAAAACTGCAGATAAACCTGCTGTATATTATGTAACATTTGAAACAGCCTCTATAACTAGGAGCAACTTTTAAGACAATACAGTCTTATGAGAAATTGCTGGGTTAACATTTCCAATGACTTTTACACAGTACACACCTGCCGCTGTGCCTCCAGGTCGCACTTGTGGCCAACCAATAGGAAGACAATGCTGTGAGGCTGGACATGGCTGCGAGCCTCCTCCAGCCAATCGTGGACATTCTGGAAGGAGCGCCGATTGGTGATGTCGAACAGGAGGAGCCCGCCCACAGAGTTCCGGTAATAAGCCCTGGTGATGGACCTGCATAGGGGGTAGAATGGATGGAAAGATGAAGGTCAGAACCAGGTTCAGTAAATATAGAGGAGTTTGTCTCAACAAAGGTGATGTGGACAGTGGGCTTTCCTTCCATCTGTTTTGTGGATGCACTGTTAGGTGCCGTTCGCACCAGTCAGTGTGCGAACGAGAAAGAGGCGGACCCAGGTAGCCAACTTCGGTGCATGCAGTGATTTATTATATACAGTGATCAAGGGAGTGACAATACACAGAGGGAAATAGTACGGAGTCCTGTCGAGGAGTAGTAGCCGGGTGTTTGACCAACCGCAGGAGGTGAGGAGATGGAGAGATGGGCCGAGCTGCGTAGGCTGGGTCACTCCTGGGCTGGTCGGCGGTGATGGTGGTTACTGAAGGTAGAGACAGAGAGATGAAGGCAATAGTGGAAAAAGATAGGCTACTGTGCAATGACCTGCCTGGGAGGAGAGAGTGAAGCCACGATCCGGAGGAACAGTCCATGGGGGGAACACAAAACAGTAGCTGGCTAGGGGATAAATACATACAAAACAATGAAAACGCACGGAGTAAAGTTGGCCTAGTGACTAGAACGAACTGGCAAGTGACTGAGGAGTGAAACCGGGTAATATAGTGAGTAACCTAATCAAGTGCAGCTGGTTATAAGGGAGTGAGGAACAGGTGAACGTGATAAGTGTAATTGGGCAAGAGACAGTAGGAAAGGTGAGGGAGGCCAGAGCGGCCGAGCAAACCTGACA